TAACTCAGAGCCTTAATATTCACTTGCGTATTAATTTATTTTCCTTTTACATTTTTGGAAAAAAGAAAAAATGAAAAAATTGTGCCTCATAGTTTGATAAAATATAATTACCACCCCTCTCTTCATCCAACTATTGCATTATTCTTTAACAGTTAATAAAACTGGGAGAGACTGATGCTATTAATTCCATTTAGTCTATTGTTTCTTTGCTTGGTCTGCTTTTTTATTCAGAAGAAAATTTATATGTATATATATGATAAAATGTATACTATATAAATTATATATATATATATTTCCATTTTCAAAATTTTCAAAAAGACTTAAAAACAAAATAGATACTACAGTTTACACCTCAAACAAAAACTCCTGGAATTAAAGGTACACCAGGTAGCAACTGAACAACCGAATTACCTCCTTAAAGTATATTGCCAAAACAAAACAAAACAAAAGGAAATATTCATGCATTCAGATTTATATTACCAACTCCTCTGATTTATTTGACAGGAGAAAGAGGCTGTGATTTGCCAATGTCCACATACCCTGTGTGGGCTTAGTTGACAGTATTTGCCTTCTCTATTAGCTACACCTGCATACTACACAGCTATAATAAATCATCAGATGTGGTTAAGGCAACTAAGAAAAAAGGGGAGGGAAATGACTGCTCCCCAGCGCTTGGTAGCACAAAAACACAGAGGTACCTCATCTATTTTTCAGAGTATTGGGTCAGATGAATTAGCCCACACACTGTCATGTGAAATGGCCAAGGAGTCTACCCTTGACTCTTTCTTCTCTGTATCTCCTTTGTGGTTGATCTCATCCACCCCATGGCTTTGCTACCCTATGATGATAATTTCCAAACCTTTGTGGAGAGAAGATTGGTCACCGATGACCCCAGCAGCTCTCTTTAGTTTGCCTGATAAGGAGGAAACATACAGTCTCAACTGTACCCAAGGTACCCAGGTGCTGTCAGCGTAAGTGGGCAACCTCCCTGAGCAGGTGGCACCCAAGCTAGACTCTTTTTCTTCTGCTTGCAAGACTCCTCTTATTCTCACCTTTGAAAAATATTGTTTTTGAGTAGCAGGGGTGAGCTCATGATGAATGCAGCTGGGTACTGCCCAAGCATATCCTGGGATCACTAGACATGACAGCATCATCCTGGCGCTGCCCCTCCCCCACCTGTTGTTCCGCCTGCACCGTGGGACACTCAGATGTTTGCCTGAGCCATTCACTCAATAATCTACATCTTTAGCCTAGATTTGTCACCTGAACTGCATACTTTTATATCCTACTGTCTACTTGACCTCTCTTCCTGAATGTCCCATAGGTTCCTCAAACTCAGCATTCTGTTCTTCCTTTGATGCACCTCCTTCAGTTAATGGAATCATTACCCTCCCAGATAGCTAGAGGCAAAACATGTGAATCACCTTCATTCAGTTCTATCCTCCTCTCTGTCCACAACCAAATGAAATTAAAGAATTGCTGTTTATACTTTAAAAAAAAAGATGAATATTTGTGGGCTATTGTGTGGTTAATAATGTAATCCAAAATGCACACCAGATACTTGGGCTGTAAAGGCAGTTACAATTTTCTGTCTGGATTTTCCTAATTGACCCAACGAGAAAGCTTCACACATCAGGAATTACGTTTTGATTTACATTTAAGCTTATATAATCTTCAGTGTGGTTGTTCATTCAATAAACGTCTATTAAGGGCAGAGCTGATATTACTGAACTCTGGTCCAAACTTGCATACATATTTCTTTTACATATGTAAGTTGCCTTGGAACCAGCTTCTTGCAGAGCTGTTGTCCCAGCATAACTTTTAATAGCTTCTCCTTTCACTTTCACAAGTGTCTGAGTTTGGATGATAAACTGTACAGTCACCCAACATATATATGATATTTAATTTGGGCGTCCCCTTGTATGACATTTTCTAAGTTCACCCTGCCCTTTAATATCTAGCCAACTGAGTCTGACTCTCCACCCTGAGTGGCTGCAGGAAGACCCTACCTTTTGTTAGATTGTCCCTCTCCTTGTTGTGGAAACTGTGGGGACAGAGATGTGGCCTTTCTTCACTGCCACTTCCTGAGCCCATATTTCTTACTTGCCAAAAACCCAAAGTAGGGCTTCCCTGGTGGCGCTGTGGTTGAGAGTCCGCCTGCCGATGCAGGGGATACGGGTTTGTGCCCCGGTCCGGGAGGATCCCACATGCGGAGCGGCTGGGCCGCTGAGCCTGCGCATCCGGAGCCTGTGCTCCGAAACGGGAGAGGCCACAACAGTGAGAGGCCTGCATAACGCAAAAAAAAAAAAAAAAAAATCAAAAAAACCCAAAGTAAAATAAATATCCCTGAAAAAGAATTAAGTATAATAACACACGGAAGAGAGAAAATTAAGAAAAACTAAACGGTTAAAATTTAAATATAAGGGTTAAAATAGAAATGTCATGAAAAGTGAACTATTACAAGATAAAATAACCAGATTTAATTATAAAATAAAAATTAAAAGCGACAATATGTAAAATAAAATCAAAACACACAGATTAAGAAAAAATCTAAACTTAACAAGGAATAAATATAACTTCAGTTGGATGTTATGTAATAATACTTTTAAAGGCAATGCAAATAAAGACAAAGTAAGGAAAATAAGATAGAGGCAGAACACTTAAAGAATAAAGAACTATAGGGGTAAGACAGGAATAAAGACACAGACCTACTAGAGAATGGACTTGAGGATATGGGGAGGGGGAAGGTAAGCTGTGACAAAGTGAGAGAGAGACATGGACACATATACACTACCAAACGTAAGGTAGATAGCTAGTGGGAAGCAGCCGCATAGCACAGGGAGATCAGCTCGGTGCTTTGTGACGGCCTGGAGGGGTGGGATAGGGAGCGGGGGATGGAGGGAGATGCAAGAGGGAAGAGATATGGGAATATATGTATATGTATAACTGATTCACTTTGTTAAAAAGCAGAAACTAACACACCATTGTAAAGCAATTATAAAAAAATAAAAAATAAAAAAATAAAGAATAAAGAACTAAAACAGAAATGGGGAAAATTAGGTAAAATGAGGTAACATGTAAAGTGCTTCTCACGGTAAAGTGATGCTAACACACTGCTCTATAAAACAAAATTTGTCTTTAGTGAAATTGGAAAACAAAAGATGAGGGGGAAGGGAGGAGAGAGTAAAGAGCCCTTTTGAAAGCAGGCTAGGAGTCCTTTGCAAAATTCCCACCGGACTTCTCTGTAGTTGAGCCCTGAATTGCTGGGAGATGGAAGGCACCAGGCAATACAAACTTCCGTCGCCCGACCCTTGTCCCATGTCCCAGCAACCCTGCTTCCCTTTGTGGTATCTCCGGCCCAGAGCTGTCTGAAAGAGCCTCACCACAATTTCAGCAGAGTCAGGGTTGGTTGACCTCACACTCGCTCAGCCATCAACTCTGTGCTTTGGAACCCAGAAGAATTGCACACTCAGGCATCTGAAAGTGCCTGGAAAGTATTTCGCAATCCCCAATGTAAGCAACAGAATGCTTCTCGTTTTCACCTTCAGATGACAAAATATGTCCTAGTGTTGACGCTGCTTAGTGATAATGTTACCGACCTTGGACTCTTTAATCAATAGAAACTGGTAAGTGGCCAGACAAGAAACTCAGGCAAGGCTTTACCGGGACTCATGCTGCAGCAGGAGGGAGAGAAAACAAGTAACAGTTTCCCTTGCCCACTAGCTGAGGGGGCGTGGTAAGCTGGTTCCTTATATGGGAGGATAGGGGTGGGCCCCGCGGTTAGGTGGAGGGGTGACTTAGGTGGTCTGCCCACCCCCTTGGCGGTGCTGTGTGCAGGGATCATGCGCAATACCCTGCTTTTGCTCCTGACACCTCAGAAGTGGCAGTTGGGTTTTTGGTCTTTTCGTATCTTGTTCATAATTTGCCCCAGCTGCGCATGTACGCAGTTATTTTAAGTCCCTTATAGTTTCTTTGTATCCTGTTCCTCAAGGAGATGTTTGTCCAGGTGCAACCACTGCAGCAAAGGGTCCCAGGTCCCAGGTGCCAGCCTGTCTCAATGATACTCTGAAAATCTATGATACGGCCATATTTCTTCACTGTTGAGATACGGAGGGGGTTTAAAAGTAACCTGGAAGTTGAAGGGTTTAACTGATGTTGAAATAAAAGGGTGTTAGGATGAAATTAGCAAGTGAGAGATTTCTAGTAAAGTGAAAGTGAAGAGTCTATCAAAGACGAGACACACCTGAAGAGAAGGCAGCTTCAGGGTTCCACGCAATCATTTGTATATTTATTTAAATACAGAAAGACAGCAAGTGCACCCTCAGGAGATAAGCTCACTTAGGGGAAAAAAAGGTAAATGATAAGAAATCAAGCCAGTAATGGGGACTCAGTCAAGGAAGCAACCTTTGTGGAATACTGTAGAACCCTTCACCCACTCTACACATACTGTCTGAGCCCTTAGGAAATGTTTCCTCAGAAACCTACCGTGAAAACAGGGCCATTAAAACCCGAGCATGCCTCACAATCACCCAGTTCTGAGACACACATTCAGGAAGTTGGGGTAGGGCCTGAGAATTTGCATTTCCAACAAGTTCCCAGGTGATCCGGATGCTTTGAGAACCACTGGTATATATTTCAAGACGTGTTAATTATCCCATACCTCAGGCAGATGGGAGGTAGATAGTCTCTGGCTAGCTCTGGCTCATAACGGTCTCTACGGGCAGTTTCCTTCAAGCCCATCCTTCTGGCATCTTTGGGTGTTAGCTCCTTATCCATTGGCTTGTCCCCTTGTAGTCACAGGATGCTAACACAGCTCCAAGAACTTCATTTCACACCAGCTCATTGAAGGCAGGAAGACAAAGGGAAGGAATAGCACAAGCTTTCACTTTCCAAGACTCTTTTCTTTTGATGCGCAGGCCTCTCACTGTTGTGGCCTCTCCTGCTGTGGAGCACAGGCTCTGGATGCGCAGGCTCAGCGGCCATGGCTCACGGGCCTAGCCGCTCTGCGGCACGTGGGATCGGGGCACGAACCCGCGTCCCCTGCATCGTCAGGCGGACTCTCAACCACTGCACCACCAGGGAAGCCCCTTCCTAAGTTTTGTACACTCATATTTGCAGGTAAGTGTAACTTAATACTCATTTCACTTTACAATTCCATGTGTGGTGGGAAGGTAGGGTTTATGCTGGGCCTTGGAGGAGAGTTGGGCAGAAAGAATCAGGAGGAGAGACAGAAAATGGCTTAGCATCTCTAAGGGACAAGGGGTCCCAATTCAGTATAACTGGAATGACAGGGGTTCTGGAAAGGGGTTATGCATTCTACTTTATTCACTTCTATATTGTTTGAACTTCATACAACTTTCACAGTTTGAATGTCTTTTAGTAAAGATATTTTCATTGTGAAAAGATAAAGAGAGAGAAAAGTAGAAGCCACACAGCAGAGGATTCTGGGAAAAAGCGAAAGTAAATGAGTGGACTTGGAAAGTTTGGGCAACTCCATTCAAGAGTTTGGAAACAAATCGAAGAAGGAAAGTTCAATGTTAGCAAAAGGGTCAGCAGGGTCTTTGTTTTGGGCTATCATTAATTGATTAAAGTGCAACAAATATCTCGTGTGTGTGTGTGTGTGTGTGTGTGTAAGTTTTCATTTCTCTGGGATAAATGCTCATGAGTGCAATTGCTGGGTCCTATGGTAGTTGTATGTTTGTTTAAGAAATGCCAAATTTTGTGCAGAGTGGTCATACCATTTTATACTCCTACCAATCATGTAAAAGTGATCTAGTTTGTCCCCCATTATCTTAGGCAATTGGTGTTGCCATCAGCAGGGTTTTTTAAGATACATGTATGGAAACAAAATATATGCCTGTGAATACATTGTCAAAGCTAGAGTTACCACCTCTGGCTAGTTTGTCTATTAGTTATCTATAGCTGCATAAAAATAACACACAAATATTTACCTTATGTAGTTTCTGAGGGTCAGGAAATCAAGGTTTCGCTAGGTGGTTCTGATTCAGGGTCTCTCAAGAGGTTGTAGTCAAGATATTGGCCAAGGCTATAGTCATCCGAAGGCTTGACTGGGCTGAGGCCTCAGTTCCTTGCTGGCTGCTCTTCCCCCCATGGGCCTCTCAAAAGGTTGCTCCGGACATGGCAGCTGGTTTCCTCCAGAGGGAATCATCCAACAGAGAGAAACCAAGTTGATAGCAGCAGTGTCTTTTGATGACCTACTCTCCGAGGTTGCATACTGTCTCTTCTGTTTTATTCTACTCCTCAGAAACAAGATCCAGCCCACACTGAAGGAGAAGGGAATTAGGCTCTATGTCTTGAATGGAGGAGTATCAAAGCACTTCTAGAATTTTTTTTTTTTTTTTTTTTTTTTTTGCGGTACGCGGGCCTCTCACTGTTGTGGTCTCTCCCGTTGTGGAGCACAGGCTCCGGATGCACAGTCTCAGCGGCCATGGCTCACGGGCCCAGCCGCTCTGCAGCATGTGGGATTTTCCCGGACTGCGGCACGAACCCGTGTCCCCTGCATCGGCAGGCGGACTCTCAACCACTGCGCCACCAGGGAAGCCCTAGACCTACTTTTTAAACCACTATAGAATGCATAAAGAATATCATGGCTTAAATAAACACACACAGTGAAAAATAGTGTAAGTAGAGGGAAACATTTCCCCATAAGAAGTATGTCAAATGCAATTTCCTGAAATTCCAATGTTATAAAATCTATCTTAATATTGTCATTTGCTCTCTAATATTGTCAGTTATAACAAGTGTCATTGAACCCTGCCTTTCACATTTTGTTCTAACATTCAAGTGGATATTTGTCATGCCTTGCAGTTGCCAGCATCTTTTGAACACTCTTCCGACGTTTGGGGAATTTCCTCCATTTTGAGGCCTGCTTCCTAAGGCACAAGCCAAAACTTAGCCTCCGAGATGGAGATGGTGAGTTAGTGGGTGGTGATCCTGTGTCATCATCACACCAATGTCTCTAGACCCTGGCAAGAGTCCAAGTTCCCCTTCTTCTCTCAGCAGGGCAGGGCCAGGCCGGAGGAAATGCTCCATCGCTGTTCTTGACTGCACGCTCCTGGAGGGCCAGGCCTCATGTTCAGCGGGAGGGATAGTGTTGAGGCCGGAATGTAGATGCAGGCCACTGTTCCCTCACTATGTTAAGTGGCAAAGCAGGTAGGGGACAATTCCATCCACTACTATCCGGAGGAGCTCCCTCAGGGGCGGTTATGTTCTTGGCTGGAACTCAGAGAACCAGGGCAGCAGGCTGGGCGAAGGCCTCCACAGGTCAGGGCTGTGTTCCCAGGGATCACAGGTGTCCAGGAGGTGGCGGGGCAATGGGTTTCTCACAGTGTGACCCAGTGGGTGAGGAGCCAGTTGGTGACGTGAATGCGTACAGTCTCCTGGATGACGTAAATTCTCAGTCAAAGCTGCCTGCACTGTCTCAACAAGGGCGTGGCTGCCGGACGGTGCCTCAGTCCCCAGGCTCCCTGACGCTCCAGAACACAGAAGCCTTGGCTCTGTGGTGGCTTCCAGGTCCTGTGTGGTGGAGAATGGAGCGAAAGCCCTGGAAAAGGAAGTCAACTGGGAGGACGAACTGAAATCTCTTGTGCACAGGCAGGAAGGAGGGCGCTGCAGAACAGTTAAGATACGAGAACATAAACATCTAGGTGCAAGGGAGGGTCTGGGAACAGAGAGGAGGTCCCCGGCCCTGCGTCTGAAGCGTGCCCGAAGCCAGTCGGGAGGGCGAATTGTGCCGCGCTCCCTGCACGTGGCGCCGCAGTATAGACACAGGTCGCTACAACACTCCCTGCCCGTGTGACTTGTTGAGAAGAAAAGCGGCCCATAGGGACGGGCGTCCAAGAACTCTGCTGCTGCCCATGCAACTCATTCCTTGAAGTTTATTCTACCTGGAATGAAACAAACCAAAAAACAAACTAAACGCCACTCTCTGGGCTCCGTCCCAGCACCGCCACCACTCCCGGGCGCCTCCTAAAACGTGCTGCTAGGAATCCAGAGGTTTACGAGCGTGTTTGTTTCCCGCGCCCGCCCACCTCGACACCGAAAGTAGAGTGGCTGGGCCCGAGTTCCGCCTAAGCGACCGGAGGGTCGCCGCCGCCGCCGCCGCCGAAAGCGCGCCGAGCTCGGCTGCAGTTGCCCTGGCGGCCGCGGCGGGCCAGGGGCAACAGTGAGCTGCGGCGGCGTTAAAAGGAGGCTCCGGCTGGCAGGCAGCTCCATCTCGGGCTGGGAAAACTAAGGGAGCGGCGGCGAAGGGCCCCCGGCCTTCTTAAGGGCGGGCGCGAGGAGGACGGTGCAGTACGACTTGTAGGAAGAGCGAAGAGGAGATCGTGCGCCTGCACCAGGATGGCCGAGTGGTTAAGGCGTTGGACTTAAGATCCAATGGACATATGTCCGCGTGGGTTCGAACCCCACTCCTGGTAGATAGTTTTCCTCTTCTCTCATTAAAAAATTAATTTATTTTTAAAATGTAAATTTCACCGAGCAAACCATGTCTTGTACTCAGGAATTCTGACTCCTGGCTGAGAGAGGCGCAAGCCCGACAAGACGCGGCCCCGCCTCCCACAGGCCAGAGGCGACTCAGCGAGCGGGCTGGGCGTGGGGCGCCGGCGCTGTTCCCCGGGCCAGGACGGGCCGTGGGGTGGGCGTCGCTGCCGGTCAACGGCTTCGCGGGGCTCAGGTGGGGTTGGGACTCCGGCGGCAGCCCGCGCCGCGGGGATCAGTTCTCTCGCTTGCAGGGAGGCAGCTAGCTGGGCAGGAAGGGCGCTTGTGATACAGCATCGTAGTTAGAAAAGTGCCTGTGCAGAAAAGTCAAAAGTTCATCTCTACCTTTTCCTAGTTTTTCGCCAGAATTAATTGTATGCACACAATTCTTCCGTTAAATCCATGAAGGCGGAGACAGTATGCATCATAGCTACAAAATGGACTCTAATTGGTAATCGGCTAAGAATTTTAAAATACGAACGGCGCGGTCTGCTTTTTGTTTTTTAAATACTTTTAAAAAGTGAAAGCAATCTAAAATCTGGGGGGGGGGACGTTGCAAGTACAGTGGAAAGTATTTTTTTTTTCAAATCATTTGAGAGTAAGGTACCAAATAGATACTCCAGTACAACCGTTAAAATCAGGGAATTAACGTTGATAATTTACTACCATCTAATCCCCAGGCCCCATTTAATCACCAGCGGTCCTTTAAAGTAAAAGTCTCCTGTTCAGAATAATGCATTGCATTTACTTGTCACATTGCCTTAAGCTTCTGCAATCTAGCACGATTCCTCAGTCTCTCCTGACTTTCATGATCTTGAAACTTCTGAAGATGACAGGCTCGTCTTTCTGTAGAACATCCGTTTGTCAGTTTGGGTTTGTCTAATGTTTCCTTTTGATTAGATTCAGGTTATGCTTATAAATAAAGCAGGGCTATCCTGGAAGTGACACTGTGTTTGCACTGTAGTCTCTCAGGTGGCATGGTTTTGGTCTGTCCTGTTACTGATCTTAACTTAGTTCACTTGATAAGGCTTTTCTGCCAGTTTTCTCCACTACAGTTCACCCTTTGTGATTAATGCATATTTTGAGGGGAAGTGCTCTGAAGTTATGTAAATATCCCATTACTCATCAAACTTTCCATTTTATTCAATTATTATGGAATGAGGCATGTAAGTATGCACCCGTGGTGTCCTATTTTAATTAATGGTTACAATCCATTTTATAATTATTACTTTTCATGCTGAAAGTGTCCCAGATTCGGTCAGTGGGAGTCTATTCAAGGCTGACCTTTGACATGTCTTCATCATTTTTTAGCACTTCCTTACTTCCTAGTCCAAGATATTCCATGCTTACCTTGTACGCCTCCTGACCCAGACAATGTAGAATCAGACATTTTGAAAAGAACCCCAGTTTCCTTTAGTGGAGAATGCTAGTTAGGAAGCAAGATCTCAGTACTAGGTGTGCTCATTGCTTTTGATGTGTTACTGTTCCCAGGCCCTCTCAGTAGAGAGAATCAGGGAGTATATGTGTCTGTGTGTGTGTCCACACCTATATTTATCTATATATATATCTATTTAGATTTGGGAGTTCCTACCAATACTCTAATTCTGATCCAACACTGTAAATTTTGTTCTAGTTTTTCTATCCATATTTGTAATTCTCAAAATTGCCTCCCGTCCCCTGCCCCAGTGTAACATCTACCTTGCTTGGGCCCATCTAATGGATTTAGAATTAAATTGTTCAAGAAGAAGGGAAGAGGAAAAGAGAGTGTCTAAACCGTTTAGAAATAAGCATCCTGCCAGCACTGAGAACTGGCTATGCGTCAGCCGCTGTTAGACATTTGAGATGTGCAGATAAATAAGCCAGCCTCTCCTTCAAGGAGCTTAGATGGTGAGAGACAGAGATTTTAGTAAACCACATTTATAATGAGGAAATATAAATTATGCCCAAGGTGCTAAAGGAGAAGTTCCAAAAGCCCTAACTCTTTCCCAGAGAGTCAGCTTTAGTTGAGAACTGAAGGAAGAGGGGTAGGGTTCAGGGAGAGGCAGGGAAGAGAGGGAGAGGGATACAGGTGGGGGAAAACATCTTGAAACCATGCTAAGTATGGTGCCTGGAGTCCACTGAAGGATCCAAAACAAGAAGCAACGTGATTAGTGTTACATTTGAAAGTATATCTATTGATGTAGAAACTCGGTCGGTCCGTATATGCTCAGGACAGGGGGGCATGTTGAATTGGCAGAAAATATTTTTTAGGGGAAAATTATTTAATTCAGTCAACAGCCAGTTAGACTGAGTGCAGTCTATTTCTCTCTTCCTCCTTAAAAGCTGAGCAAGGGGAAGAACAATATTGACTTAACAATAATAAATTAAGTCCCTAAATTGATCTATAAATAAGAGTGTGGATTTATAAGCATATTTTAAGTTATTCAAAATGGATTTTTCTGTTGGACTTCATGCAGAACTCTGTAGGAAAAATATTGCCAATACAAGAACAACATTGATTTCAACAACATTGAAGCTTTCCCAGTCTGAACGCAGGGACTCTTGCTAATTTATTTGTATTAATATGTTCAAGTGCAAATACGGAACAATACTTCCAAGAATAGGCAGAGTAGTTAGATTTTTACTTTGTTCCTTTAAAACTATATTGTAAATCAAGCTTCTAGTCAGTAATAACCAGCTACTGTGCTATAACAGAGATGGTAAAAGACCAGCTAGTATTCTTGTGCTTGTTAAAATTCTGACACACAGATCACTGAGATGCCACAAAGAGGGGTGAAATGATGTCTGAAAGCTGCTGGTCTGGAAACAAGAAAATCTATCAGATGGATCCTAGGGCACTGAATCACAAGTTTTTGATTGATCAATATGTATGGCCTATTTAACTGCAATCTTCACATGCCAATTTAGATGGAATCTTTTGCTTTACTATATCCTACTCTATAAAGTGTTCTATTATTGATTTCCTCTAACTAGCAGGATTCTGTAAGTGAATTTCAATTTAGTGCAGCAAACTTTAAGAATATGATTCAGTTTACGAAGTACATATCAAAAGGTCACTCAGTAGGAAGAACCCAGGCTTTGGGGTCAGACAGACTTATCAACTTTCCCAGGTTATCAGCCTTCTTTCTTCATTTGCAAATAGGAAAATAAAATTTACCTCCACAAAGTGGTTGTGAGGCTGTAATACTCTTCTCACAAAAGTGGGTGTTTCGTAACTGAGTTCGCTTCCCTTTTCAGGAGCCATCATTTGTGGAAAGTACAGTAGAACTACACTGTGCAAGTAGGAAGAAATCTTACCTTGCATGTATAGACCACTTTGCAGTTTTCCAAAACACTTATACGTTCATCTCCTCCTTTGACAGACAATATCATACACTCAAACCCATTGTACCTAGGTGGTAGCTACAATTAGGCACAATTTTCCTTAATAAATTTAAAGAGTAATATTTTCTTTCATCCAAAATTACATAGATAGAGCTAGAGGATATTAGTAGTTCTTAAAAATGGAAACCCTGTCCTAAAATGTAGCAGAATTTTTTCTTTTCCTTGAGAAGTAGACCTGTTATATTAGACCCTTTTTTTTTCATTCTTAAAATATTTTGAATTTAAATTTGAATCGTTTGTAGGTATACCACCACTAAGCTTAGAATGATTTTCCAATGATTATTTTAACAATAATAAATTAAGTCCCTAAATTGATCTATAAATAAGAGTGTGGACTTATAAGCATATTTTAAGTTATTCAAAATGGGTTTTTTCTGTTGGATTTCAAGTTATTCAAAATGGATTTTTTCTGTTGGATTTCATGCAGAACTCTGTAGGAAAAGTATTGCCAATACATATAAATAGTGACACCTACTGGTTAAATTGAGGCAAATTTGTTTGCTAAATTCTGTCTGCCTTATTCTGACTGTAAAATCCTGATGGCTATTCCACAGTTACTGTGTTTAGGAGCACATTAAGGCTATGTGTAATCCAGCCAGTAAATTGACCTTTGTTTTCTCTCTCTTTCAGTCATTAATGATAAATCTGCCATTGAAAGGAATCTCAAATCACTGACAGCACTTGCGTGAGCTGTTATTTTAATTGTATGAATAGGGCTTTTATCTCATAGCCATCATCTGTGTTTCTTTTAATATATTTTATTCAAACTCCCAAACTCACTATGAAGTTGAAGAGAAATAGGGATTTGGATTAGTTATCAGCTTTACAGAAGTCATGTCCAATTTTAGAAATCTTGAACAAGAAGCTTTCTTTGTCCTTAGTAGCAAGTGGCAATTTGGGGATCTTAGTTATTCCCTTTGTTTCACATTTTGCTTTTAAATACAATTGCAGCTATTTAATGAACAAATTAATTGCATGTCACACATTTGCTAATTGTTCAGATGATATAAATGATAATGCCCCAAGTTTTAATGAGTGTGTTCAGTTACAAAGATGCCACGTAAGAATCAGGAACATAATTCCAGGTCCCTTGCATCCACTCTATTACTGGATAGAGATGCATTGTGAACCACCCGGTTCATTTGTGAACCACCTTGTTTCATTTTTATCCACACAGGTTTTGATGTCTCTTGAACAACTTATCAGAGTGCTTGGCAGAGAAGCAATGATTGCACTGGGTCCTTACTGAAGTGAGATGGAAACTGCCTAGCAGAGTGTCTCTATACATTGTATGCACTATATAAATACTTGTTGAATAAATGAACAACGTTGAAGTCCACTGAGTATATTTCACAGTTCATTCTATTTATTGTACACAAATTAATCTTCATTTAGGATATGTGTTTTAAAGTGTACTCAGGATTTGTTTTAATCAGGTATGGTAAGACACTCAGATACAGAAATGACTGTCATGAAGGAAGAATTTTTTTATACTCACAGATTCCCTGGAAACAAGAGCCACGGCACACCATGCAGGGCCACATAGGGAAGAATTAGGGTCAGTCAGGAGGCAGAGGGAGCAAGGAGAAAGCATGGGCAAGAACTTTTATTGTGGTTTTCACAGGAAAGAATGGGCAAAGCAGGGTAAACAGTCTTAGGATTGGCTACTTTGAATAATTTCAGGGGGCTCTGGAGTGTAGGGGCTGCCCTGAGTATTCTGGTACTTCTAGGAATTATCTAACCCTGGGAGAAGCAGTCCCTCCCTGGTCAGCAAGGCCCCAGATGTCAGAGCATCAAGAATACAGAAAGTAAGAAAGTATAGTTAGTATGGTATGGGTTCAGGCATGCTCACACTTTTTTTTCCCTTCTCTTCCTCCTTCAGCTAAGGTAGACCTTACTCATTAGGAGAATCAAGATTCAGAAGCCCAAAGAGACAAACACTTAAGTAGTTTTTGAATCATTTCTATCTGGATAAACTATATAATATACCTGTGCAATTCAAGTCTCAAATTTATCTTTCGGTTTAGGTTGTATTTTCCGTCATTTTATTCATTACTATAGTGTAATGAGGCTAGCAGTTCTGAATAAGGTAACTTTTAAAATTGCATTGGAAAGATGGATTACTAAAAAGAGTGTTGCCTATTCATCTCAATTCCACAATCTCCTTTAAATATAAACATAGGAGTATGTGTATTTGTAAAATATGCAGTGTAGGTCCTAAGTGGCAACATAGAACTGCAATTAGGAGTCAGATGGCCCAAGTTTTTTTTTTAATATATAAGTTTCAGGCGTACACCATTATAATTTGACATATGTATGCACTATGAAGTGATCCCCACCACATGTGTAGTTACCATCCATCACCATACAGTTGACCCCCTTCATCCGTTTTGCCCACCACCCGCCATGCCCCTTCCTCTCTGGTAACCCTAATCTGATCTCTGTATCTATGAGTTTGTCTTTGTTTTATTTTGTTTGTTTGTTTTGTTTTTTGATTCCACATATATGTGAAATCATACAGTATTTGTCTTTCTTCTGACATTTCATTTAGCATAATGCCTCCAAGGTCCATCCATGTTGTGGCAAAGGGTAGAATTTTGTTCTTTTTTAATGGCTGAATAATATTCCATTGTATATACAGATGTAGATAAAGATATAGATACCATAGCTTTTTAATTCATCCATCATTGGAAACTTAGGTTGTTTCCATATCTTGGCTATTGTAAAAATTGCTGCAATGAACATATGGTTGCATATATCTTTTTCTTTTTTCTTTTATTTTGCATATATCTTTTTGAATTAGTGTTTTTGTGTTCTTTGGATAAATACCCAGATGTGGAATTGTTGGGTCATATGATAGTTCTATTTTTAATTTTTTGAGGAATCTCCATGCTGTTTTCCATAGTGCCTGAGGCAATTTACAGTTCCACCAACATTGTACGAGGGTTCTCTTTTCTCCACATCCTCTCCAACATTTGCTATTTCTTATCTTTTCTATTATAGCCATTCTAACAGGTGTGAGGTGATTTCTCAATGTGGTTTTGATTTTCATTTCCCTAGCAATTAGTGATGTTGAGCATCTTTTCATGTGCCTGTTGGCCATCTGTATGTCTTCTTTGGGAAAAATGTCTATTCAGATCCTCTGCCCATTTTAAAATCAAGGTTTTTGTTGTTGTTGTTGAGTTATTTGAGTTCTTTATATTTTTTGGATATTAACCCCTAACTGGATCTATGATTTGCAAATATTTTCTCCCATTCAGTAGGTTGCCTTTTCATTTTGATAATGGTTTCCTTTGCTGTGCGGAAGCATTTTAGTTTGATGTAGTCCCATCTGTTTATTTTTGCTTTTGTTTCCCTTGCCTTTGGAATCGGATCCAGATGTTTTATTACTGTTTCATTCTCCTTACTAGTAATTGGTCGCTTCAGATTTTCTATTTCTTCATAATTCAGTCTTGGAAGATTGTATATTTCTAGGAATTTATCCACGTCTTCTAGGTTGTTCAATTTGCTGCTGTAGAGTTGTTCATAGCAGTCTCTTATGACCCTTTGTATTTCTGTTGTATCAATTGTAACTTCTCTTTCATTTCTGATTTTATTTATCTGAGTCCTCTCTTTATTTCTTGGTAAGTCTAGCTAAAGGTTTGTCAGTTTTGTTTATCTTTTCGAAGAACTACCTCTCAGTTTCATTGATCTTTCCTGTTGTTTTCTTAGTCTCTAATTTATTTCTGCTCTCATCTTTACTATTTCCTTCCTTCTACTAATTTTGGGCTTTGTTTGTTCTTCTTTTTCTAGTTTCTTTAGGTGTAAAGTTAGATTGTTTATTTGGAGTTTTTATTGTTTCTTGAGGTAAGCCTATATTGCTATGAACTTCCCTTTTAGAACTGTTTTTGCTGCATCCTATAGATTTTGGTATGTCATTTTTCTGTTTTCATTTGTCTCCAGGTATTTTTTAATTTCTCCTTTGATTTCTTCAATGACCCATTAGATGTTCAGTAGCATGTTGTTTAATATCCATGTTTTCGTGGTTTTTCCCATTTTTTTCTTGTGATTGACTTCTACTTTTGTACCATAGTGGTTGGAGAAGAGGCTTGATATGATTTCAATCTTCTTGAATTTATTGAGATTTATTTTTTGACCTAACATATGATCTATCCTGGAGAATGTTCCATGTGCACTTGAGAAGAATGTATATCTGCTGCTTTCGGATGGAATATTCTGTACATATCTATTAACTTCTTCTGATCTAATGTGTTATTTAAGTCTGAGCTTTCCTTATTGATTTTCTGTCTGGTTGAACTATCCATTGATGTAAGCGGAGTGTTAAAGTTACATACCTTTGTTGTATTGCTTTCATTTTTTCCCTTTAAGTCCATTAATATTTGCTTTATATATGTTGGCCTCCGCTGTTGGGTGCATGTACATTTATAAATGTTATATCTTCTTGCTTGATTGACCTGTTTATTATTATGTAATGCCCTTATTCATCTTTTATTAATCTTTGTTTTAAAGTTTATTTTGTCTGATATGACTATAGCTACTCCAGCTTTCTTTTCATTTTCATACACATGAATATATTTCTCCATCCCTTCACTTTCAGTCTGTGTGTGTCCTTTCTTCTGAAGTGAGTCTCTTGTATGCAGCACATAGATGGGTCTTGTTTTTTTTTTAATCCATTCAGCCACTATGTCTTTTGATTGTCAAATTTAGTCCATTTTCATAAAGTTCTTATTGATATGTATGTTAATTTCATTAGTAGTTTTCTGACTGTTTTTGTAGTTCCTCTCTGTACCTTTCTTCTCTTTCTCTCTTCCTTTATGTTTTGGTGGTTTTCTTTAGTGTTATGTTTCTATTCCTTTCTCATTTTCTTTTGGTTATTTACTATAGGTTTTCTCCTTGTGGTTACCGTGAGGTTCACATATAACATACTATGCAAATAGTAGCCTGTTTTAAGTTGGTAGTGACTATAATTTGAACACATTCCAAAGCTTTATCTTTTACCCCCTGTAATGTGAATGTTATTCTTCTTCACGTTGTCCCAAAAGTCCCTTAAAGTATATTTACTTTTCTTAATTCTTTTTAAATTTTGCTGCTCTGTCTGGGTGAATTCTATTGCTTTGTCTTCCAGCTCATTGATTTGTTCTTCTACCTCATCCAGTCTGCTACTGAACCCCTCTAATGTATTTTTCAGTTCAATTATAACTTTTGTTTGGTACTTTCTTATGTTTTTTTTATCTCTTTGTTGACGTTCTCACTGTGTTCATCCATTCTTCTCCTGAGTTCAGTGAGCATTTTTATGACCACTACTTTGAACTCTTTATCATGTAGTTTGCTTATCTCTGTTTCATTTAGTTCTTTTTCTGAGTTCTTTGTCTTGTTCTTTTGATTGGAACATATTCTTTTGTGTCCTTATTTTGCCTAATTTTCTGTGTTTGTTTCTATATATTAGGTAAATCAGCTCCCCCAGTCTCAAAGGAGTAGCCTTATTTAGGAGATGTTCTGTGGGGCTCAGAGGCACAATCCCACCTGGCCACAAGAGCCAGGTGCTCAAGGGGTGTCCCCTATATGGGCTGCATACACCCTCCTGTTGTGTTGGGGTGTGGCTATTGCTGTGGCATGCTGATGGACTGGGCTGGACCCTGGACTGGCTGCAGGGCCTGGCCATGGCCATTCCAAGTATTAATCCCAGCTCCAAACCTTATTAGCTGTGTGACTTTGGACTGGTTATTTAGCATCTCCAAGTCTTTGTTTTCTCACCTATAAAATGGGGTGATAACAAAAAGTACCTATCAAATGATTTGTTGTGAGAATTAAGTGTGATGTTGATAAAGTGCTTAGGAAGTACATGGCATGTAGAATGATCAAGAGATTAATCCATTGTTATACTTCAGTGATTCTTACAAAATGTACTTATGGGTTGACTATGAGACCAGTTTTGTTAAAAAGGTAAAAGTTGTTTATGGAATTGATTCTTCTGTAGGAAATACATTGTATTTGACATAGAATTACAGCAAAAGACACAATTTTTAAAAGACATGAAATTTTGGAGAAGGGTTTAGATTGCATTCTTCTGATTTGTTCATTAAACTTCATTTTTCCATTTAAAATCTTCAAATGCCTAATTTTCCATCATCAGCATCTCTTTACAAACAAAATTCCCAAAATTCCTTTAATAATTTGTATGTTAAAAAATAGAACAGAGGGGGCTTCCCTGGTGGCGCAGTGGTTGAGAGTCCGCCTGCCGATGCGGGGTACGCGGGTTCATGCCCTGGTCCGGGAGGATCCCGCGTGCCGCGGAGCGGCTGGGCCCGTGAGCCGTGGCCGCTGAGCCTGCGCGTCCAGAGCCTGTGCTCCGCAATGGGAGGGGCCGCAGCGGTGAGAGGACCGCGTACCGCCAAAAAAAAAAAAAAAAAAATAGCACAGAGTTCTAAACTCTAAGTTTTCAAATTCATGCTAAGTGAAGTTATTGTTTTCCCTTGAGTGTCACACCCACCGGATTAGTCACAAATAGCTATATTAAGGATGTTGTTCACATTGTTTAAACACTAGCAATTCTGACCCACCCAGTTCAGCTACAATTTTAAGAGCAACCTGACAAAAATGTTCTTTTATTCCACATAAGAAAAATAAGAAGCCCCTGTCACTTGGAACATATGCAAAATAATATATAATATAATGCTTTTAAGTGTGGAAAAGTGCTTCATACAGTATAGCCTGGCATTCAAGTCTATTACTATGCAGGAGAACTCTTTTACAGTGATTCAGTGTAATGCCTAATTTTATTGGTGCATTACAAAGAACAATATGTAAAAGCGTACATAGAGTGAAATTTTAAAGTGGCCTAATGAATTGAAATTACCTCAGTAATGTACTCGTTGAATCAATTAGTCATTTTCTTTCACGCTGATTTTAGTCTCCTGTGAGTAATTCTCAGACAAAAATGAGATGGGGATGAACTTGGATAATTCTGGATGGAGAAGCCCTTTAGGTGAATCTGGGGTGAAGAGGATCCCTCCCATCGGATTTCTCTATTCTGCTTCTACATCTCAGTACCATAAGCCATCCCAACGCCTGCTTATAGAATACACAGCTACTGCTGCCTTTTGCCCATATTTTCAAAATGTCTAGGAAATTCTTGTGGAGAAATATCAGCACTGGAAGCAGGGCAACCTCTAGTTCCAACAGAACAATTCATTCATTCTATAAGTATTTTTTAAATGACTAGAATGAGCAATGCTATGCTGGCTGCTGGGGTACAGCAATGAATAAGAAAGACAAGGTCCTGTCCTCATAGAGCTTACATTTTATTAGGAAACACAGGCATTAAACAACGAATTACAACATTGATTTTTTTCACAGTCACAGTTTCCTTCTTGAACTGTGGGGCACAGTTCAGAGTAGGAGAGGAGAAGCAGAGGCCTTTCAG